TCTACCTTTTGTATCTGGGTTAATTAATTTCTTTTAATAATTTAATTATCTCGAAAATAAATGATCTGAATATATACGTATATAGTATTTTTTTTGTAAAATAAAAAAAATAAATATATATTTATAAATTAAATGTTTGTCGTATTTATTAATATCTAGTTTTTTTAAAAATAAATTTAATTTATACATATATATACAATTTAATAATATTATATATAATTTAATTTATATTTAAATAAATATATATATATATAAATTATATATAAAATTATTAAATTATAAATACATATACATATATCTCGTCGAGGTCTAACGCTCGATACAGAATTATCTGACAGAGGACTAGTAACTGTCTGTGACGACACGGTGTGACAGGTCGAATCGAAAGAAATGGGACGAAAAGCGAGGCGAAGAAAAGCGCGGATCCGCCGACACTCGCGCATAGGCGACTGTGCGCCGCAGACACACCGCGGACGTCGATTCGGATATTAAATTTCCTCACTACCGGCGAACCAAGACGTATTTCCCAGAGGACGGTGCTCCGGTTTCCGGTGGATCGCGCTCGCGTCGTTCTCGCGTTCCCATTCCCCCCCTTTATCCGCGGCCAAAGTAATTGCGCCACGAGCCGCCGCACCATCGTCGTTTAATTCTTGCGAGAATGCCGGATTCCCCGCCGTTTGAACTCATTTGCGTAATTACGCCGATATCCCGGCATCGGGCGAACGCGCGGAGAAACTCGAGAACCAGGCTACCACCAAGATCAGGCTCCTCGAAAAATGTTGCCCGCTGCATGATATCTCCCGTCGGTTTAACGTGAAAACAGTTTCCTCCATTTCTTTTCTTTCTTTCATTTTTAATGAAACTCAAGCCTGAACCTAAACCCAATTTTATTTATTGTTATTCTGAATGATTTCCATTCGATCTTGGAATTTGTCGAATTTTTTTAATGCGAATAACTTATTACTCCGAATGAATAGATTTCATTCAATCTTGGAACTTTTTATCCGAGTCTTTTAACGCGAATAACTTGCTACTCTGAATGAGTAGATTTTATTCAATCTCGGAATTTCTTTTAATGCGAATACTCCATTACTCTGAACGAGTTTCATTTAATCTTGGAATTTTCCGAATAATTTAACGTCAATATCCCACTATTCCTAATGGCTTTCATTCAATCTTGGAATTTCCCGAATTTTTTAATACGATTGCCTCACTACTCTGAACGAGTAAATTTTATTCAATCTAGAATAGGATATTCAATCTAATGCGAATAATATAATACTCAAGTACACTCTGAGTAACTTTCATTCAATCTTGGAATTTTCCGAATTTTTTAATACGATTAACTCACTACTCTGTACGAGTAGAGTTTATTCAACAATGGAATTTTCTGAATTTTCTAATGCTAATAATTTAATACTCAATTACTTTGAATAACTTTTATTCAATCTTGGAATTTTCCGAATTTTGTAATACGATTAACTCACTACTCTGAACGAGTAGATTTTATTCAACATTGGAATTTTCTGAATTTTCTAATGCGAATAATATAATACTCAATTACTTTGAGTGACTTTTATTCAATCTTGGAATTTTCCGATTCTTTTAATGCGAATAACTTGCTACTCTGAATGAGTAGATTTTATTCAATCTCGGAATTTCTTTTAATGCGAATACTCCATTACTCTGAACGAGTTTCATT